CAATACAGAGGAATAAACATATACACAACATAGATGAATCTATATGAATTATGGTAAGTGAAAGAAGCCAGATTCCAACAGCCATATAATGTACGATTTCATGTATATGACATTCTGCAAAAGAAAAGTGTCTACGGACAGAAAACAGATCAGCGGTTGCCAACTACTGGGGGTTGACTACAAAGGAGCAGGAGGGAACTCTGGCGGGTAATGGAACTGCTCTATATTTTGACTGGTAGTGGTAGTCACACAACTCTATGTATTTGCTAATACTGCAAAATTACACACAAAAAATGGGTGAATATTACTATATGCAAATTTTTCCTTAATAAAAAAATTTATATATTAAGCTAAGTAAAACTAACAAAACCCAAAATTAACATGCAAATAAGCTTAATTTTAAAAAAAATTAAAAAGCTTAAAATAAAAAGTGGCTAAGCCCATTTTTGGAAATTAAAGTCCAAGCTACAGTTGTGCTTCACAAGGCAGGTTAATCTCATGCTTTTGCTTGGTTTTACTCCTCTGGTAGTAAAATAATAGGACATTGGACTCTTTAAAAATATACTTAAAAAAAAAAATCTATAAAATGTTGTTCATTCCAAATGCCTGCTAGGTCATTAACTCAATGAAATCCATCATCCTACATTCCCAAGTGCTCTCTTTATTCTTTCAACATTTTTTTTTTTTTACATTTTAAGACTATCCACCACGTCAGAACATTATTCAACTTTACATTTCATCAACTTATTGCAAGTTCTCTTTATATTATACTTCTCAACAAGACCTTAGGGAAAAATTGCTGTGCTAAGGGTAAGACTATCACCTTAGTCCAGGTCCTTATCTTTGCTCCTAGCTACACTTGATTCCAGGCTATCTCCACTTTCACTGATCCTATCTTTGGCTGACTGATCTGCTCAAAAGGTTTAATTCTTTTTTTTTTTTCCTGCCACACTGGGTCTGCCCCCACCAATCAGTGGAACTATTTTTCCAGTGGAAATCCATTAAAGCAAATTTTAATGAGACAATGGAAAATATCAGTTTACACTTGACTATTACTCTCACAGAAATGTGAAGAAATGGGTTTAGAATATATTGTTAAAAAGCTAATCAGTATCTGTATCATTTAGGAATGTTAAACACTGTTCAATTTCTACAAAACAAAATCTAAAGAATTTGAGACAGGGCTTACAATTTACTTGGATTAACAATGATGTTATGCCAAAAATAGTCCTGGCCTTACAAAACTCTTAATTTTTTGCCTTTCACTATATAATTTTCTGATGCTTTCATCAGCCAAAAGGGTTGGGACTTTATATAAATCCAGTGGAGTGTTCCCTAAATTATGTTTCATAGGGAGGTTAATAGGTGTGGTGGGAGGAGGTGGTTAATGAGAAGTATAGGCAAGAATTTCATGGTAAGTTTGGGAACATTTCTCTTTCTTTGACACTTTTTCTCTGAGTATACTCATTAACATCTCACCCAACACCGGGCAGAACACAGTTCGAGAAATCTTTAAACAGAAGATTAATTCAATTAAAATTAAGTTGAAAAAATTTCATTGCATCAAAGACCATGCCTGCACCATAGGCAGCAGTTACCAAGTAGCAACTAACTGGGGAATGCAGACACAGCTCAGGTAGATGCATGTTAATCTTAAATAGCTAAAGTAATACCTTGTTACTCAATGGGTATATTTTTGACCAGTAGTTTCTGCATCACCTTTCACTGTTCAAGCTGTCTCCCAAAATCAATTTCAATCTTCAAAAATTTAACAACATCCCCACATGATTTCAATGCATGTTAAAGGTTGAGAAGCACTGGCCTACAACAGGAGTTCGCAAACTTTCTGTAAAGAGCCAGAGAGTTAATATTTTAGGTTTTGTGAGCCTGAGGTCTCTGTCATAACTACTCAACTAGGCTGTCTATTATAATGATAAAAAGGTCTATATATTAAGAAGGTATAGTAATTAAAGATGTATATATGTACTTGGAACAGAATACCAAAATACATTGAACAAGAAAATAACAGAATCGAAAGGACAAAACCACAATTTAGCAACTTATAATGAAGGTTTTTAATATCCCTCTCTCAGTCCTAATGGAAATAGAAAATCTGCAAGGATATAGATTTAGGAAGAAAACCCACCAGCTTGACCTAGCTGGTATTTATAGAACACTCTACCCAACAACAGCAGAATGCTCATTCTTTTCAAGTGAACACGGTGTTTTCTCTAGAATAAAACACATGGCAGGCCACAGAACAAGTCTTCATAAAAGACTAAAGTCATATAAAGTATGTTCTCCAATCACATGTAATTAGAAATCAATAACAAGGAAATGTGGGAAATCCCTCAAATATCACGTTATCAGACAACCAATTTTTAAGTAACCCAAAGGTCAAAGAAGAAATTTCAAGGGTAATTAGAAAATATCTTGTGAGACAGCATAGTACTAGTATAAGGTCAGATATATAGCTCAATGGAACAAAAAAGAGAGCTCAGCAATAAACCCTTATATTTATATTTCACTGACTTTGGACAAAGGTATCAAGGCAATTAAACAGGGGAAAGGAAAGTCTTTTCCTGGAACAATTAGAAAGCCATATTTTGCAATAGTTAGATCCTTACATCATACTATAGACAAAAATTTTTTCAAAATAGATCATATACCTAAATGTATAAGTTGCAATAAAACCACTAGAAGAAAACTAGTATAGAAGAAAATCTTTGTGACCTAGGGTGAAGCAAAGACTTCTTAGATATACTAAAAACACAGTACATAAAGAGTAAGTTGATAAACTGGTCTTCATGAAATTAAAAACCTGTACTCTTCAAAATGTGTCATGAGGAAAAAAAGATAATTCACAGACTGGGAGAAAACATTTCCAAATCATCTAATAAAGGGCTTGTAGGGCGCCTGGGTGGCTCAGTTGGTTAAGCGACTGCCTTCAGCTCAGGTCATGATCCTGGAGTCCCTGGATCGAGTCCCGCATCGGGCTCCCTGCTCGGCAGGGAGTCTGCTTCTCCCTCTGACCCTCCCCCCTCTCATGTGCTCTCTCTCTCCTCTCATCCTCTCTCTCAAATAAATAAATAAAATCTTTAAAAAAATAAAGGGCTTGTATCCAGAATATAAAAACCACCCTTAAAACTCAATCATAAGAAGAGAAGTAACTCAATTTAACAACGGGCAAAAGATGTGAATAGATATTTCAAAAACAAAGATAAGCGAATGACTAATACACACATTAAATGATGCTCAACATCATTTGTCATTAGAGACATACAAATTAAAACCACAATGAGATAGCACTCCACACCTAAATTGAGAGGCATTCTCAAGTAGATCAACTTTAAAAAAAAAGTTGAATGGAAGGACAGAATCTGGAAATTGGTATTCTTAAAATTATTTTTGCTGACCTATTCTTTGGAAAGCTTTTGTGTACCGCCAGTGGTACACATACCGTATTTGAAGACCACTGGGAGAAGAATACAAGAAAGATACGGTGGCTTAGACAATAACGCTTAACAGGATTTGATGATCTGGAAAGGTGTCAAGCATGGATGAGGCTGATGTTAGGGGGGCGGGGGAGTAGTTAGGGCTGGAAAAGGAGCTAATAGGAAAAAGGTGAGGGAAAGAAGCAGAACTCTTTTAAGAGTTTCTGACAACATCCTCCATCATCATCATCATCATGATTCTGATAGTCCCCAGCACTAGCAAGTAAAGTGAGGAAGATAGCCTCAGGCAACACCCACAATGTTTTTATCATTTACTTGACTCCCCCACAGGCTCCCTGCCCTAGCCCACACTGACAAAAAGGCACCATGCCCAGGCAAGTCTCTACATTTCCCTTCAAACACTCACATCTAGAAATCACTCTGTAGCAAGTAACTGGACCAAAGCAGAAAACTGTACCAAGCACAGGTGATCTTCCCTTTTCCCCTGCATCCTAATCTGATGTACTCAAATTACAATATTTCTCACACTGTAATAATTGTTTACATGCTTGCCTCTTCCCTAGCCCATTAGAGACTGTGACTTAAGACAGACACTTCTTACTCATCTTGCAATCTTCAGCAGCCAGTACAGTATCTGACCTATCCTGCATCAATAAATGTTCAAAGAATGGAAGACTAGGCTTGTTAATACTATAAACTCCAACCATGCAATTTAAATATCTTTGTCTACAAAAGAACTTTTTAATTTTTTTAATATATCATGGGCAGCAAATGTATTTTAAAATCCAATTTTTCTTTCTCAGGAGAGCCACTAATCTATAATTAAGAACGTGATATGTTATATATCTAATCACCTTTTACATATATGGGAAGTGGCTATATAAAAGAAATGTGTTGTAGTGAAAAGACCGGCGGACTAGATAGAAGCTAGGTAACCTGGTTAGGGCTAGTACCAGACACTCTGTGTCTTCTCAGGCATTCAGTTTCCACCTGTGTGAAATGAAAGGATTAATGTGCAATCTCTAAGCACTCTTCAAATGTTAATACTTAAGAATCTTTAATCTGAGTGTTTAATGAAGGCAGGAGGGATGTCAGTCGCTGAGTATTCCTAACATTTTGGTACCTCTTTGCTAGAGATCAAACTAAATGATACTGTCAATATTCATTCAGTACTTCAACTCCATGAACAAAAGTAAAAAGAATCTCCTTTTGAAATCAGGAACGTGACTTTTTGATTCTAATAATTTAACTCTTTTTTTTTTTTTTTTTTTAAAGATTTTATTTATTATTTGACA